CGAGTAGCCTGAGCGGGACATGTTGTCCTTTCGGGCAGAGGTGTTTGGAAACTGGAGAAGAGGAATCGATCCAGTGCGTATTTGTGTGATCAGGTTTCAAACTGGCGCAAAGGTGTTCGTTGTTGGAGCTACTGATGCTGCTCAATCTGGAAACGTTGAAGCTCTCAACTGGCGAGTGACAGCTTGCGATTGTGTTGCGTGGACACAGCGCCAATTTGAACTCACACCCTGATGGCCGCCCGCTGTCTTGGCACTGTCACCCTGCAGCGGCCAGCAGTCATGACATAAGCTTGCGCACGTGCCTTTATGTCAAGAGCTCTCTTTGGCCTCTCAAGTCACGATATGTACAGAATCAAGACAAAACGATACAAATCAGAGCCCACGTCATGTCATGAATTGATGGTCAGGAGTCTTAAGCTATGGTCATCCGGAATGTACAGCCATATTTGGTCGCCGTAAAAACCAACCCCCCTGCCAACCCAGTCGCGCAGAACGATACCCATGCCGAGAAAAAACCAAAAGACGCCAGACGACCTTGACCGATGAAGTGAAATCGCTTATTTGAGCTTCTTCTTGGGGCGGAGCTGGTTGGTGTGTCCGCACTTGCGCTTTCTGCAGTTGGTGGCACGGGGAGGGAGGCGGGCCTGTCGTCTGTTGTCAGCACATCTACCCTTCCTTATCTTCAAGTGTCCGACATACATAGCACTTGCGGCAAATCATCTTGTCGCAGTTGAACTTGGAGGCAAGAGCCTTGAGCGAGGGCTCAATGATACCACCGCGGAGGCGGAGGACCAAGTGGAGGGTAGACTCCTACAAACGCAAAGACCGGTTAGCTGGCTGTGTTTCTTCGATTTCGAGATTCCGTGATCGGTTCGGTGCCGCGGGAATGCCAGCAAAAGTTCCTCCTCTTCCTAATGCTGATAACAATGCCCGAATCCTCCTTCCAACATTTGCCAGTCTCCCGATTCCCGCAGCCCGATCGATCCGTTTCGTTCGTTTGTTCAAAATCGTACCTTCTGGATGTTGTAGTCGGAGAGGGTGCGGCCATCCTCGAGCTGCTTGCCAGCAAAGATCAGGCGCTGCTGGTCAGGGGGGATGCCCTCCTTGTCCTGGATCTTGGCCTTGACATTGTCGATGGTGTCCGAGGACTCGACCTCGAGGGTGATGGTCTTACCCGTGAGGGTCTTCACGAAGATCTGCACTGTTCATTTTGAAAAACCCAGCGTTAGCATGTCTGAGCATTTCGCCATGCCGATAAATTCCGTCGTGACAATATCTGGGGGTGCTGGGCGAACGTACTCTTGACCGATTCCCACGAAGCTGGCTGATGAGGTTGACGAGAGAGTTCCAAGTGGAAGCGTAAATTTTGGTGGGGGTAAGAATCGCCTGCAGAACTGGGACCTAGGGCTCGCCGCCGGATATTTTAGGCAAACTTTGTGGGCCGGTCCGTGCGCACACCTTTCGCTCTGCAGCTTTCCGCACTGTGGGGCATCATCCGCCCGTCACTTGGCAGGGGTGCTCTCTTGTCACACTGAACCTGCTCTTGGTGAGCAGTCTCGCGGTAGACAAAATGACTGAGACTACAACGCCCTCTTCACGTCTTTCAGGGCCCATCAACTCTCTCAAAAGGTCTATTAGATATATTTAAAGACCTTTAAACTACCCCTAAAGGCCTATAATCAACATGTAGCATCTTTAAAGGCTTATTAACTCTCTTATAACGCATATCAACTATTTTGAAAGGCATATGGATTACCTTTCAAGGCCTCAAGCACGCGTCTGAGATGTAGATAGGAAATGGGTATCACATTGCTCTACACAAACAATCCTCTAAAATACCAAGTTTACTCCCCCCGATCTATCCACTCGCCGATCCCCGATTCATGCTTGATCTGCTTCTTCTCCATTCTTTGCCAGTTATACAGCAACTGGTCCAGACTGTACACAGCCCTTACCAACTCCTCCAAACCCATGCCGGAAATGTCCGCAACAACCTCGTAGAACCTCTTTGCGTGCCCATCAAGCTCCTCTACAAACCTATACTCTCGATAATCAGAACCGATCCTTTTCGTCTTGATCACACCACCACCACCACCACCACCACCAGTTCTTGTCCTCGCGTCCAGCTGTGGCTTGATCAACTGCATGGCCTTCCCGACCCTTTGTAACCGCGCCTCAATCTCGTCCTCAGTCGGCCCTTGCACTCTAGTCACAGGCGGAATCCTTTCGAGAGGAAATAGACGGTCGATTTCCGTTTCATTGGTGGGGTTCTTCTCAATTTGCGTGTCTTGAAACCAGTTCAGTAGTTCGGTGATATCCTTCTTGTCCATGGTCCAGATTTTCTGGGGGTTCATGCCCTCGAATTCCAACATCGGTGGCTTCTTGTCTTCGTGATTGGCGAATACCTGTTCCCAGACTTTCCAGTTCATCTTCATGGATAGGACGTCGTTGTGATCGCGCGGGTGTCGGTCGATGGAATCGAGGGGGTAGAGGTATTTCGTTGCCACGACTAAAGCTGCCGTTAATAGGACGTCTGGGATGTCGAGAAGAGTATGTCGCTCGTGGTTTGTCTCTCTGGTCGGGAAAGAGTAACGTAGCTGGAGTAATTCGCAGATGTTTTGTGCGTATGGGTGAACGTCCGCTATCCCCAGTCAGCACAGTCTCTAGAACAACCTATGAAGACACTTACCCGGAAGAGCCAAATCCTTGATACTCAAAAACAGCAACGGCGGCGCCGCCACAGCCGGAAAAATCAACCCATGATTCTCCTTATACCCTATCAGCAACCCCATAACTCTCTTATGAAGCTCTCCTCCCTTGAATTTGACATATCTCGTCAACAAGCTCTGATGAGCCCAAATCGGCAGCCGGTCCTTCCACTCCTTGGGTATGTAATCAATCTGCCCCCCCCGTCAGCATTTTGTTTCCTTCCTATCCCCCAAAAGACAACTCACCGCCGACAAAAACGGCATCCACCCATTCCTCGCCCACCTCCAAACATCCCCCACCCTCACCGGCTCCCCCCTCATCACACACCCCAAATAAACCAACCCCAACGTATCCATCACCCCCGGCAAATCCCACAACTCACTCCCCCAATCCCTCCTCCTATTTCCCTTTTCCCCCTCCCCCTCCGTCTGGCTACTAAACATCATCAACCCCCCCTCTTCCTCCTCCCCCTCATCCACACTAACCCCCCTCCTCCGTTTCTTCCTCCTCTCCCCAGCCCCCCCCTCCTCAGCCTCCTCCCTCTTTTTCTCAATCCCCTTAAACCCCCCAACCCTCAGCAACCACAAATCCCTCACCACCCCCTCCAACTCCCCATTCAACCTCTTCTCTTTAATCAACCACCTCAACTGCTTCCTCAAAATAAGCTGCAAGCACTCCAAATACAACTTCCTCCCCTCATTCCCACTCAACTGCTGCTTCGGCTTCTCCCTCTTCTCCTTCTTCACCGTCAGCGTCTTGCCCATGGACCCGAACCCGTCGCCTTCTTGATCAACGTCGAATTGTACATAACCCTGGGGGCGCTGGGGTTAGCATATAACAATTGACTTGCAGAGGAGAGGGGACAGACAAACCTCAACCCGATGCCCATTCTGGCAAAACCTCATCCCGTTATCCAGATACCACTCTTTCGCGGGGCACTCCGAGCATGTCTGCCCCGAGGGAAAGCGGTGGTGTTTTCGCGGCGGGACCATCTTGTTTCCGAATCGACTACCAACCCGTGATGAGAAGAAAAGTAGCGTTTGGGTGGTTGTAGAAAATCGAAGGGAAAAAAAATCAGCTCAAAGGGAGAGATTGTGTCAGTGGCTAAATATTTGTATGGTTGGAGAAAAAAAAAGTGAAGCCGGCGATGTGTTGAAATGTCAAAGCTTCTTTCTGACTACCAAATCGGGACAGCTACCTACCTACCATACACGCCACTGCAAAATAATTCGACACACATGATAATGTCTTGAACCGTGCCTTGAAAGATAATCGATGGGCGATACAAGGCAATCGACAGACTTTTAAATATAGTCATGGACCTCAAAAGATAGTTAATAGGCCTTAAAACACTACTAATAGGCCTTTAATGATAGGTAAGAGATCTCAAAAAATAATTAGTAGGCCTCGAATGATAGTCAATAGGCCTCAAAGCTCCTTTGATACGCCTCGTTCTTATTTTAGAAGACGTAAGTTGATAGTTGTCATGCGTATTGCTAAGTTACTGTCATATTCTCTAGCATTGGCCAAGATCTGCATGTTTAAACCGAGAGCAGCTTGTATCGTCTCACACAAGTTCAAGACACATCCACATCACCTCACTACAAATCATAGAATGTTTGCAAACTGATTGGGAAAGCGTCTTTGATTCTACCGGGCGGCGCCCTCACTACCTGCGAGGGCCAGTTTCTCAGCTCACGTTCACCGCGGCGAACAGAACGAACAAATGCAGGATAGAGCGAGAGAAAGGAGACGTCATTTTTCATGCAAGACGAACGCCCATGCCGCAAAATTGTCCAGATAGAATCAATAAAGAACGCTACCGAGAACCCGTGACAATGACCAGCCCAAGAAATATCACAGTAGATATGAGATATCTCGCCGTCCAAGCGGACAGCTGACAGCAAAAATCGCCGTTTCCTGGCCGAAGGCCGGATTCCCCCTTCCCACCAATCACATCCCCAGTCATAGAGACGTTTATTTGGTGCCCTCCTTGGCATCGATAGCAGCCTCCTCACCCATGGCAGTCTGAACGGTGACGACTAGAGACAGGGTTAGTACCTGATTTGTTTGGCTTCAATAACCCAAGGCAAAACTTACGGGTGTCCTTCTCCTCCTCCTTGAAGAGCTTGTTGATCTTCTCGCCGACCTCGCCGTCAGGGAGCTTAACGTCATCCTTGAGGTCACCGTCGGCGGTCATGAGAGAGAGGAAACCGTCATCGGAAATATCGATCTAAATATCGCAGTCAGTGGCTGGTCTTGCTTTCCATGCACGACAGCGCGGCAAAACTCACGAGGGTGTACTCCTGACGCCTGACGACGGGGACGTCCATGTTGTGGGTGGAGGGGGAGAGATCTTCGAGCTTCTTGCCAGTGAAGATATCAAGGGCGACCAAGTGGACCTTGGCGTGACCGTGCTTGCCGGTCTTGGAGGTGGACATGTCGACGATCTTGCAGGGGCGGTTCTTGATCACGACGAAGCCGTTCTTGCGCAGAGCAGAGCACTGCATGGGGTAGGTGGTGGAGGCACCGGCATCACCGCCAGCCTCCATCTCGAAGTCGGCATCCTGGTGCTAGAGGGTACAAAAAAAGCATGTTAGCGCTATCACTATGTCTTGAGAGGCAAATCCAAGTAAGATGTAGGGTTCGTCAAAAGTGTGCGTGCGCATCGCGGGGTCGTCGTCGATGGTGTTGCGCAAAAGTGATAGATGGCCAGATGCGGGGTGGACTTTTTTTGCCGCCCAATGGCGCACACTTTCGACAATAGAGAGGCAGGGCACGAGAGCAGGACAGAGATATCACTACGTACTTCGGCCATTTTGATGAATCTGCGAAAAGATACTGGTTGTCTGGAGATAAGTCGTCCGACCAAGAAGAATGTCGAGATGGAGCCGTGGAGGGAGAAGGGTGAGGAGGAATGGGGACGGTAGGAGAGGAAGAAATTGAGCCCAGGTTTTGAGTGCAGAGCCGGAACGAGAGAAAAGGCAGTTTCCCCGCCAAGTGGTGACCCCTCCTCTGTCTCGAACCTTGCACCTGTGCACCTGCCACTGGCCACCAAGCCACTGAAATTCGAATTTGAAGTGGTGGGCTTGCCCACCCGCTGCCTCACAAGGTCTAGCGCCGCTTCCAGACGTCCAAAGGTTTTTAAACCCCACATCACACAGCCTTTTATTTAACCCTCTTGTCATTGGAGATGTCAAACAGACAACAAATATGCCCCCCCTTCTTTGTGTCTGTGGCCAAGTTCAAGGTACCTTTGTGTGAGAGGTACCAAGCAAGGGCAGCAAACTTTGATAGCTATGGCCTACCTACCAATTGCCTTGCCGAATTCAAGACATCCATCTTTTTCTCTCTCTCTCTCTCTCTCTCTCTCCTGTCTCACAAACACTCTGCTGCCCCGCCTTGAATCGTGGTGCCTTGGGGCTAAACCTATTCCAGGGTAGCATCATTCGGGCTGGAACAGGCCCACTTGTGTCTTCGGAAGCCTTTTCTGATCCATCCAATCAACGCCGACCGGCCTCGGACTGTGCTGCCAGCCTTGCCCAAGGCGCTCATGTCAGCGCACATGTCAGCCAAACGGCCACCACCAGCTGTGCACAGGTGTCCATCTGCCAGAGCTCACCCAGCTCCGGCCAGCAGGGTTCACCGCGCAGCATGTCGACAACCGCCAGACGAGACGTCGGCAGCGCTGCTCACGATTATATTGTGTCTTATCGCTATTACTGACCCATACCAGCTGTCAAGATGTGGCTGGACAGGTTTGCAGCCCAGCAACAACCAGGCAGAAACAACTCACCACCTCCATCGAACCGATCATCACCACTGCCCCGTCGCACCTCCAGGTCGGGTGGCATCAGCCCCTATACAACCTCCCAACAACAACGGCCAGGGATATCACCTAGAGGGTCTTCCCTGTCGCTTGTATCTAACGATTCCTCCTCCTCCCTACTTGCCTCTTCACGGCGCGCCAATGGCTCCGCCCTGAGGCAGTCGACGACGGTGGACGATGCTCCCGATCCTGAGGAGGTGCTCGCCCGGATACTGGGCCCGTTGTCTGTCGATGTAGCGCCAGCGCAGCACAGCAGCTCGACTGGGATAACGGAGGAAGATTTGGAGTTGGAGTTTGACTTTGGTGGTCTGAGTTTGCGTGAGCTTGCTGAAAGTGACGATGCCGACCAACTAGAAACGGTGGACACGTACAGACCACAGACGGTAGAAGACTGTAGGTCATCGTCCCCAGCCTGCTGCAAGGCATTGCGTTTCCCTTCTTGTACTTATGATAGTTTCGCGTTAGTTGAACGAGATAAAGCCAAATTCGAAGAGCTTCACCGGTCCATTCGAGCGTGTGATGACATCCTGAATTCCGTCGAGACGAACCTGACCAGTTTCCGCAACGACCTCGCTGCTGTGTCTGCCGATATTGAGAGCCTCCAAGCCAGATCTACCGCCCTGAATGTCAGATTAGAAAACAGAAAGGCTGTTGAAAAGGCCTTGGGGCCGATAGTGGAGGAGCTCAGCGTGTCGCCCATGGTGGTTTCCAAGATTGCAGAGGGACACATCGACGAAGCATGGATCAAAACTCTGGCCGAGGTGGACAAGAGAGCTATGGCTCACAAGAAGAACTCGCAGCAACAAACGCAAAATAAAGCGCTGGCTGATACTGGGCCGTTGTTGGAGAAGTTGGTTCTCAAGGTACTTGCCGCTTTTTACCCCTATTCAGCTCCACCCACTGACCATGGTGACCGCAGGCCATTGAAAGAATTCGAGACTTTCTCGTGGCCCAGATCAAAGCCTTGCGATCCCCCAACATCAACGCCCAAATCATCCAACAACAAAATTTCATCAAGTTCAAGGACCTGTTTGGCTTCCTCAACCGTCATCAGCCGGTCCTAGCAGGGGAAATATGCCAAGCCTACCTCAACACCATGAGGTGGTACTACCTCAACCAGTTCACCCGCTACGAAAAGGCGCTCCTAAGACTCAAGTTGCATGTCCTGGACAAAAACGACGTCCTAGGCCACGACGACAGCCCCACCACCCGCCGAACCACTCTTCTATCCTCCTCCAAACTCGCCCCCGGCGCCCCTCCGCACGATGCTTTCAACCTCGGCCGGAGGATTGATGTCCTCAAAAATAACAACAACCTGGCCATCTCTTCTTACCTCGCCGAGGAGGACACCTCGACTCACTACCTGGAGACGGTGTTCAGAAACTTCAACCTGGCGCTGATAGACAACACCACGGCGGAATATACCTTTTTGGCAGGGTTCTTCTCCCCAGCCCTATCGTACGGCACGATAAGCAGGCACTTTACTCAGATATTCGAGCCCACCTTCTCCCTCGGGCAGCAGCTCACCCGACAGCTCGTGTCTGAAACATACGATGGGCTGGGTGTCCTGTTGTGTCTCCGGCTCAACCAAAAATACGCGTTTGAACTCCAGCGTCGCCGGATCCCGTCGGTGGACTCTTATATTAATGGCACGGGCATGGAGCTCTGGCCGAGGCTGCAGTCCATCATGGACGCGCATCGGGAGTCGGTCAAGACTTTCACTAACGGTTTGGGCACGAAGCAGCCGACGGCTGCGGTGGCCAAGGCGGCGAGCGCGGCGCCGCATGTGGTGACGCAGAGGTTTGGGCAGCTGTTGCATGGGATACTGGCTTTGAGCACGGAGGCTGGGGATGACGAGCCGGTGGTGGCGAGCTTGAGGAGGTTGGGGGGGGAGGTGGAGAGGTTTTTGGAGGGGTGGAGCAGGACTCGGTTTGGGGAGGTGGAGGGACGGAAGGGGAGGAGGTTTTTGTATAATAATTGGAGCTTGGTGTTGACTATTCTTGGGGATGTGGCGCTGGAGGGGGAGGGGAAGATGGGGAGGGAGTTTGTGGGGTGGGTGGAGGGGTTGAAGGGGAAGTACCAGGAGGATGGTTGAGGAGTGTGAAGTTGGTTGGTGGAGTGGAATGGTACAAGACCTAGGTAGGTTTGTTATAGTCAAAGAATGGGATGTGAATGATAATGGTTCAGCAAAGCTATTGAATTGTGTTATGACTTCTTTGGAACAGAGCTGGATTTGTCTTTGGTGGCCCGATTGCGTGCTGAGTCTTGCCGCGGTTGCAACCCGGTCCCGGGTATTTCTGGAAGTTGTGGAGGACTGGAGAAGGCATTTCCCCCTGAGCGGACGCGGGATTCCCGTCCCAGGGGATACCACCAAGCATTTTGGTGGCTGTTCTCGGCAGATTCTTGGTGAGCTTGTTTTCTCGTCAGTTGGTTTATTTTTGTCTATTTTGCCTGGGCAGCATGTGCCGAAATCCGAACAGATTGATTGCTTTCTTTCAATACCTGTTGCTGATGAGATGCGGAGGTTCTCACTTCTTGAACAGGATAGCACTTATGTTGTTGTTATCTTGATGAACTTGTTCATATACGTTCAACATTTTTCCTGGTGTAAGATAATCTACCTTATGTCTGCTTTCACAAAATCAGATGTTTTGGTTTATTTTCAGTGTTCACCTTGGAATTCAGAAGCCGATGCTGTGCAACTGCAGCTGAGAAAGAAGCGACAGGTCGATGACACCTTCCTCATGAACACCAAGGCCCACTCCGGCACTGATGGTCCAGCAGACCGTCCCATGAGTAGGTCGTTCTTTCCCAAGTTCAATCATCGCATGTCTTAGTCGCCTCAACAGATCATGATAAGCATAGCCTGGAAGTCTAATCTGGCGGAATTTCCTGTTTAGATGCCATGAAAATGCGTCCGTCACCTCTCATCCCTTCAATCCGGTCCAGCATCATCTGGTGCTGGATATCGGCATCACAACAGCTACCCAAGTTTTGGTCATCTTGGATGTTGGACTGGCATATCTTACAGTCTTGTGCAAGAGTATATCCATCTCATCTTCTTTCATCTGCCCACCATCCCGTCTTCAAGCCGTTCACCTCGCTTCTTCACCAACCTGAGCTCACTCAGCTGGCCATCTGAACTTCTGCAAAAACCTTGTGCTAGCCTAGGTAGCTGGTAGCAATTGCAACACATCACATTCCAGGGCTGATCAGATCTGGTGAGATATATCTCCGTCGAACGCGTGGGCACACCTGTGAGCCATTTCGTTTGGCCGGCTAAAGCTAACTCATTTGTAGATATTGGACTCTCCCGTCCTGCTCCCACCACCTTGCAGACGTACGTAACCACCATCTTCGCCGTTCTGGTCAAGACAAGCGACCTGGATGGGCCTGTGCCTGGCTCCCGTGGGCCTGGGTCCAGCAGTTGTTGGGCTTTTTGTCGATCTTGGTGAAGTGCCGTACTCTTCCCCGGTTGCACTGTTGTCCGGCAAGGAACTTTTCCAGTCATCATTGTAACCACGAAGGGGTGGTGGGCACCGGGACCGAGAAGCCGTGCGGTGACCCGGAGCAAGGCGTTTGCATGTTTTTCTGGTCTGTCTTGTCCTGAGATAAGACACGGGCAGGCCCGCTTTCCTTCTTATACGAAGGCTGGGCATCTGATGTCTCCCATCGTCGAGCGTTTGCCTGCACGTACCCGTTCGGTTGTGCAACTTTCCGTCGACCGCCTCTTTATTGCCCGCTGGTGGACACGGGTGGCTGTTGCTATTGCGTTTGGCTGTATCTGGCACCTCAACTCGAGCTGTCATTCTGGAAAACCTCCGACTACTGCTATAGCCTCCTCGAGATTATTGTTGGCGAAGGCACTGCGGTATACTTGAGCCTCATCTCCCCCTATACTCGCCAACATGGCGGCCGGTATCACAGAATCATGGCCGATCAACGAGGTAGGTGCCACGACTCAGATCTTTGCTGGACCTCCAACTTACATGTCAAACAGATCGTTTATACTGCCATCGTGGGCCTGATTATGGTGGCAGCTTTTCTCGAATGGTTTCTCTGGATCGCTGCCTTCATGTACTGTCTGTGGAAGGTCTTTGTAAAGGCAGAACACTGGACGGTAAGATTCCTGGCTGTACTGATTGGCACCGCCTTTCTTCTTCTCAGGTAACACCTCTCCTGTCTTTTCCAGATATGCTTTTGCTGAATGTTCAAAGATTCATCTTCCTCCCCATCATGGTGGTCACGCTACCGTTACCAAGCGCGGTTGTTAGAATCTGGCCTACGGCAATGGTCAGCTTTCTCCAATGGTTCGCCTTTTACAGTTTTGCTGGTCTCTTGACTCTCCCCTGGCTTTTCTGCGTCTACCAGATTGTCACACATCAACTTGGAAGAAAGAAGCGCATTAAACAAGTGCTTGACGAGGTGTCGGCTCCCAAGGTCGTTATTGTCATGCCTTGCTATAAGGAGGAACCCGACGTCCTCGTCACCGCCGTCAACTCGGTCGTCGACTGCGATTACCCACCGTCCTGCATCCACGTCTTCCTGTCCTTTGACGGGGACCAAGAGGACGAGCTATATCTCAACACCATCGAGAAACTCGGGGTGCCCTTGACACTCGAGTCATATCCTAACAGCATAGATGTCGCGTACAGGGCCGCTCGTATCACAGTATCTCGATTTCCTCATGGTGGAAAGCGCCATTGCCAAAAGATGACCTTCAAGCTCATTGACAAGGTCTACCACGAGTACCTGAAGAGAAACGACAACCTCTTCATCCTCTTCATCGACTCCGACTGCATATTGGATAGAGTCTGCCTGCAGAACTTTGTCTACGATATGGAGCTCAGCCCCGGAAACAGCAGAGACATGTTGGCCATGACGGGTGTCATTACCTCGACTACTCGGAAACACAGCCTCATCACGCTTCTTCAGGACATGGAGTACATACACGGCCAGTTGTTTGAGCGTACGGTGGAGTCGGGCTGCGGAGCAGTATCCTGTCTCCCCGGTGCCCTTACCATGTTGCGATTTTCAGCGTTTCGTCGAATGGCCAAGTACTACTTTGCTGACAAGGCCGAGCAGTGTGAAGACCTGTTTGACTTTGCAAAAAGTCATCTGGGAGAGGACCGATGGCTGACCCATCTGTTCATGATTGGTGCTAAGAAGCGGTATCAAATTCAGATGTGCACCTCGGCGTTTTGCAAAACGGAAGCTGTCCAGACGATGCGGTCTCTTATCAAGCAACGGCGTCGATGGTTCCTCGGCTTCATCACCAACGAAGTCTGCATGCTGACGGACTGGAGGCTGTGGAAGAAGTACCCGATCCTTTGCTTGGTTCGGTTCATGCAGAACACGATACGGACGACGGCTTTGCTTTTCTTCATCATGGTCCTGGCGCTAATGACGACGACCAAGAGAATTAACGACCTTCCTGTGGGCTTCATTGCCATCTCGCTCGGTCTCAACTGGCTGATGATGGTCTATTTTGGGGCCAAGCTCAGGAGGTTCAAGATCTGGCTTTACCCGCTGATGTTTGTGTTGAATCCGTTTTTCAACTGGTACTATATGGTTTACGGCATCTTCACCGCTGGTCAGAGGACCTGGGGAGGGCCACGGGCCGACGCTGCGGCAGCCGACTCGACCACAACAGCTCAGGAGGCGATCGAGCAGGCCGAAAAGGCCGGTGATGATCTAAACATTGTTCCCGAGTCTTTTATTCCGGCGGCACAGGAAAGGAAGGGTGTTGAAAAGGTGAACGCCAGTGCTATCAAGAGATCCAAGAGCGTTTTACAGCCGCCCAACCAAGTTATTGGCAAATTCGCGGCGCCTGAACGGACGCCAAGTGGATGGTATCAGCATCCAGATGAGTCCATGGCAAGTGTTGGTGTATTTGCCGGGTCGTCATCTCGCCTCGAACGAAAGGCGGATGTGCCAGAGCGGGACTCAATCGACAGCTCATCTTCGGCGCACACTGGAAGCTATTCGGTCTATATGCCACGCAGAGTGGAAAGCATCATGGGCGAAGAGGACCGGCGCAAATATGACCTAGCACATGCCAGCCAGGTCAACCAGTTTGCAAGCGCTTCGAGGATATTTCAGGGTCCACCAACAGGTCAAGTGTACGAGTATCCGGAATCCGAACTCCAGAGGGCAGGATTTAGAGACCCCGGGGTACCCAACTCGAACCGGCCCGGGACGCACAGGAGGCTCGGCAGCAACGGCAGCGCAGGCTCCCAGAGCGTGGGAAGCTCACTCCAAGACCCTCACGGTCCAGAATCATCAGTGGAATCATTCCAGACATCTCGTCAGTCGCCAGTGCCACGGCCAGTCTCAGCTGCAGGACGATCTGGTAGGACACCGCTTGGTCGAGCTAGCTGGATGCATACATCATCCACAGAACAAGTCGAAACGCAAATCGATGAATCTCAGAGCCGTCTCGGGGCAACATCACAACCTCGCCAGGGACCACCAAGAGGTGACCACCGCCGATAGTTGAGGCGGACAGGCGAACTCGGGGACACAGGCTCTGATGCAGACACGCATCGACTGCTCATACGACCGAAACGGCTGTGTCCAACTTCATCAGGGGGTAGGCATCGAATGGTGGCTATCACGGCGCGAACTGCCATGCCTGCACGGGCAACAAACGTTTTTCTTCGCAATGGTCAGGGCAGAGACGGAAATGGGCTATAAACAACACTCAGTCTTGATAAAAAGGGGTGATATTACGGAGTGAGAGAGATGATTTTTTTTGGAACTCTACCGTTAGAGTGATTTTGGAACGTTTTTCATGGGCTGGAATGCACCACGTGTAACCTGTATTGTATCCAAAGATAATGTTGTACCTAGTTTTCCTTTGCTTCTTGGCGTTGTTTATATTAAAGATACTGACTCGATTCGGAACAAATGCGAAGCGTGGGAGAGGCGAGACCGCATGACACGAATCCACGACGATGGTGTTGCAAAGCCTGAGGTTTACGTGATGGGTTCAACGCCCGTGGGTCTGTGAGGCTGGGCATGACAAACAGTAAGTCTGACGGCCGGCCCGGCAACCAACCCATCCAGCAATTACATGCGTCTCCCGGGCCGGGTTATTGGGCAGCTAACATAGGACTTTGTGGGATGGCAAGTCCTTGGTGATGATCAGGAATCTTCTGGATAATTCTCACTTGTGTGTTGGAGATTTATTGGGCAGCTATGGTGACCTAATGTTTAGTGATGGAAAGAGGTTACACAAAGTCTTGGGAGTGGGAGACTGAGAGATTGTCAAGCATACTACAACACGGTACATGGTGTATATAGAGAGATCAGTCTTGGCCCATCAAGGTGATGCTATTCATAGCGGGGCACTTTTTGACAGAAAAATGCGGAGGAAGAGAGGGATGGAAAGAAAACTTGACCGCCAACCCCGAGCCACGGATGCCCCTCGCCCCCCGAGCAGCGCGGTTGCCCCGCCCTTGCGAAAATGTCGTTTTTCAGGTCCAGGAGGACACAAGAAAAAAAAGAGATGGTGGGGTGATGGGTGTACGGTACGGGGTGGAAGGAGTGATAGGGGGGAAAGCAGGGCTTATCGCTAATCGGCAGTGAGAAATCTTATCGCGTTGCCCCTCGTTGCTTGGCAATCAGCATGATGCAATGGTGAAGCGCTGTCAGAGAAGAAGTTGAGATGGCAAGTGCACTGGGTTGTAGAGTTGACAAGATGAATGGATGACTTTGATGATACCTACTGCCTAGACATATCGTTTCCTGCATGATAGACACATGAGAAATGACTTGCAAAAAAAAAAAAAAAAGCATTGTGTGAGCAAGAGTCTTCTTGTTCAGGTTTGCTGATGAAGATGCAAAAAGACAAAAAAGGCCAATCGAGAATCTTCTCCTGGCTTCTGGGGGGGGCCTTGGCTACGGCACAGACCCCCTGGGCGCGGGGCTATTCAAAGAGCAGCGGTGCCCGCCCCTACATGATGGAGGGAAATTGTATAGAGGGGAACTTGCTTGCGTGCCACTGTCGGGCAATCCAAACATCAAAGTCTGCATTAAAATCCATTTCCACTGTGGGAAAAACCTCGTTTTTTTACAGAGTCCAGTTTCCCGCCCATCACCACCAACCAAGCCTGCCTTTCTGAGCAGTCCAACGAAACAACAACCCCACCTTCTTTTTCCCCCCTTCTCACCCACACACAAACCCGCCCCATATCGTCCATTCTCGACTCGACTGGTGAGAACACATCTTCTTCGAAGCAACTTTTGAGCCATCCCAAAGCTTACCGGTTGCGTCTTGAATCTTTTTGCAGAGCCGAGTCCATACAACTGCCCAACATGAGTGTCGTCGGTACGTTATGCGCCCACCACACACCTACCACATGTCTCGAGAGCCTGACTGCTAACATGGCTTGCGTCTGAACAGGTGTCGATTTCGGAACCCTTAACACAGTCGTCGCTGTTGCGAGAAACCGGGGTGTCGATGTGGTAAGTAGCTTACCCGCCCAACCGCCCTCCTGAAGGGGAGGAGGAAAGCAAAAAGTCGATAAGGCTGATTGTGATGGTACACCGAGCGCAGAACTGACAACGACTTTGTCAATGATAGATCACCAACGAGGTCTCTAACCGGGCGACTCCGTAAGTTTTCTCTTCTTACCCCTTGAGGTTGCTCTCCGGCTCTAGCCTGCTCTAGGAGCCGTGCAGAATTGGCGCCCAATGTCTAACACTCCTTCCACAGATCGCTTGTTGGCTTTGGCCCCAAGTCCCGCTATCTCGGTGAGCCCGCGAAGACTCAGGAGATTTCCAACCTCAAGAATACCGTCGGTTCTCTCAAGCGCCTGCTCGGCCGCACGTTAAACGATCCCGATGTCCAGACCGAGCAGGCTTTCATCTCGGCCCCTCTGGTCGAGATCGACGGCCAGGTCGGCGCCGAGGTGTCGTACCTCGGCGAGAAGACCAAGTTCTCTGCCACCCAGCTCACAGCCATGTTCCTCGGCAAGATCAAGCAGACCGCTGCTGCCGAGCTCAAGCTCCCAGTATCCGACCTCGTCCTGAGCGTTCCCGCCTGGTTCACCGATATCCAGCGCCGCGCCCTTATCGATGCCGCCGAGATTGCCGGTCTCAGACCGCTCCGCCTCATCAACGACACCACCGCCGCCGCTCTCGGCTACGGTATCACCAAGCTGGATCTCCCCGGCCCTGATGAGAAGCCCCGCCGCGTTGCCTTTGTCGATGTCGGTTACTCCAGCTACACCTGCTCCATCGTCGAGTTCAAGAAGGGCGAGCTCTCCGTCAAGGGTACCGCTTTCGATCGTCACTTTGGTGGCCGCAACTTTGACAAGGCCATCGTTGACCACCTCGCCAAGGAGTTCCACGGCAAGTACAAGATCGACATCAACTCCAACCCCAAGGCCCTCTGCCGCGTCTACGCCGCTGCCGAGAAGCTCAAGAAGGTGCTCTCTGCCAACCAGCAGGCACCTCTCAACATTGAGTCCCTGATGAACGATGTCGACGTTCGTGCTATGATCACACGTCAGGAGTTCGAGGCTATGGTTGAGCCCCTTCTCAACAAGGTCCACGTTGTTCTTGAGCAGGCCCTTGCCGACTCCAGGCTCACCAAGGAGGACATCGACATTGTCGAGGTTGTTGGCGGCGGCAGCCGTGTCCCCTCTATCAAGGAGCGCGTGCAGAACTTCTTCAACAAGAACCTCTCCTTCACCCTGAACCAGGACGAGGCTATCGCCCGCGGTTGCGCTTTCAGCTGCGCCATTCTCTCCCCCGTCTTCAAGGTCCGCGACTTCGCCGTCCAGGACATCATCAGCTACCCCATCGAGTTCGCTTGGGAGAAGGATGCCGACATCCCCGACGAGGACACCAGCTTGACCGTCTTCAACAAGGGCAACGTCCTGCCATCAACCAAGATTCTCACCTTCTACCGCAAGCAGGCTTTCGACCTCGAGGCCAGATATGCCCAACCAGAGGGTCTCCCCGGAAAGGTCCCTCCTTTCATCGGTCGCTTCTCCGTCAAGGGCGTCAAGGCCACCGGCGGCCCAGAGGACTTCATGATCTGCAAGCTCAAGGCCCGTGTCAACATTCACGGTGTTCTCAACGTCGAGAGTGGCTACTACGTCGAGGACCAGGAGGTTGAGGAGGAGATCAAGGAGGAGAGTGACAAGAAGGAAGGCGATGTGAGTATTCTCCCAACACGTGAAAACAACCCCTTATCGGTGGATTCCACACAGATGAACACCACGGGTGGAATGGAGGAGGTGCCTGTCAGATCGCCGAAACGTCGCAAGACCGAGGCGCCCGCGACTAGCGAATCCGATCACCACGCTGGAGCTGTTGGGGAGGAAGATGACGACGAGCAAGAGAGAAATAAACTAACCACCGAATCTTTTACACAAAAGGCCATGGACACAGACGAGAAGCCCAAGACCCGCAAGGTCAAGAAGCAGGTTCGCAAGGGCGACCTGCCAATTGTCAGCGCCACTCTCTCCCTCGACCAGGGCGCCAAGGCCCAGCTCTTTGAGAAGGAGTCCGCCATGGCTATGGAGGACAAGCTTGTCGCCGACACCGAGGAGAAGAAGAACGAGCTCGAGACCTACATCTACGACCTCCGTAACAAGCTCGACGACCAGTACTCTGAGTTTGCCAGCGACGAGGAGAAGGAGAAGATTAAGGCCAAGCTCGAGGCTACTGAGGTATGTTTTGGTCACTTGGTACAGGTGTGATGTGATCTGTCGCTGACGGTCAATCTACAGGACTGGCTCTACGACGAGGGTGACGACACCACCAAGGCCGTCTACGTTGCCAAGATTGATGAGATCCGCGCTCTTGCCGGCCCCATCGTCCAGCGCCACTTCGAGAAGGTCGAGGCCGACAGGCAAGCACTCCAAGCCCGCCTGGATGCCGAGAGGGCGGCGAAGAAGGCCGAGGAGGAGGCCCGCAAGGCTGCCGAGTCCAAGTCAGACTCCAAGGATGAGGAGATGACGGATGCGGACGCGCCAAAGGCCGAGGTTGAGGAGGCTGGCGATCCTTAGGAGGGTAGTAAGGACAAGGGTGAGGAGGATTATTGGACAGATGATTCGGAAGAGGAAATGATACCTTGAGCGAAAAAGAGAAGAAGCGGATAGGGGGGAATTAAAAATATCGGGACATGATTACGGACATGATGAAACCCACTTTTTAGAAGTTTTCTTTTTTTTTTCTTTTTGAGAGAGAGATGGAGAGGAAATTTTATGTTTACCCACCACTACCATTACACTTTGCACACACATTCCCGAGCCTAATAGGTTGAATGAGAGGTAGCGGTAATTCTTTTTTTCTTTAGGTATGAGGCTAGAAGGAGGAGGAGAGCGATGGATGGATTGATGGATGGTGGTCATTTGATAGATTGGGATGGTTTTTTCTTGGGGGGATAGTTTGGAATTCTGGTAGGGGAGGGTGGTATAACTTTTTGTAGTGTAGGTAGAGGAAATAAAGAGCGAAGGTGGGGTAGATAGGATGATGTTTTGGTTGGTGATGAGTGTGATGTGATGTGATTCGTGACTCGACATGGAATTCGTTCGTCAAGTTGACCACAACAAGGGAAAAGATGCATCAACCTTTTGTTGGAGAGATGGCATTTTGTTTTGTTTTTTTCAAACCTTGATCGGGAGGCTTGGATAGATAAGAGTTAGGCAGAGAGGGTGATCCTGAGCGGAGATTTCATATTGGGCCTATTTTCTTCTACAGATTTACTGAGACTTTGAACCACCTTGGTGAGCGATGTTCTTCTCCATCTCTTCCACCAGGGCATGGGGAGGTTCGTCGTTGAGGGGGTGATGGCTTGTTCGATAAGGGCGTATTTCGCCTTCGAATTAGCCTTCTTTCTTCCCAACGCTTTGGGCAGAACAATGATGTTTGTAACTAAGTTTCAGACCGACGTGTTGGTGGACAGCCCCTGGTGAGGGAAGAGATAGGTGTCTTTGTAGTTGTTGGGTAACATTTGCCTATCTAGCTAGGCAAAAGGGCTTAAAGCCAGACCGGGGAGATGGATGAATAGTGGAAATAGATGGGAGAAGAAGAAAAAAACATACAACACCGAGGATTCCCCAGTGGTCACCCACCTGAGTACTGATTCGGCCCTTCAGCTATTTGACTCGGGCAGAGCGGACGGGATGCCGTATTTTTAGCTGGGTATGGTCGTATGTGATTGTAGGAGGGAGAAATGCACATCATAGGTAGTAAAAAAGAATTCTGCTGTACAAACTGTCGTCTTGTTCCCCCCCTCCCCACATCCACATGTTTTCCCGTCTTGATGAGTTATGCATATGTTTTTTTTTTATCTCAATGAGTTTTATGCTAGGCCGCCTATCCCAAATTACACCACTATCCCCTCCCCATCCCTTCGCTATTCCCGTTTACTTTGATGAAGAAACTAGAGCGTTGTGTATGATGATGATGTAGGGGGTATCAACATAAGAAAACAAAAAAAAAACACAAAAAGCCAACCAGAGTCGAGATAGGTAATGATAAACTTCCTCTAACCACATCACCCACCCATCCATCCCTTTGAAAGAATAAAAGAAAAAAAAATACATGCCTCATAAGAGATAAATCATCGCGCCAAAAGAAGTCTAGCTTGAGCAATACAAACAAACAAGCAAACGCTACAAAGATTAAAAAAATAAAGAACAACGATTTCCCTCCCCATTGGTATCTGCCTCTTCTTCTGTCTGGTGTAAAACTCGCGAGGAAAAAAAAAAGAATCTATCTAGCCCGCCCACCCCCCATCAATGGCTGATATGCATGATTAAACGCCAAGAAGAAGAAAAATAGAGCAGAGGGGTGAAAATGATAAAAACAATACGACCAACAAAAACAATGAATCCGCTTGTAAAACGGAATGTGTGTGCCTCCCACCCCATCAATCAACCCAGCCCCGCCGACCCAATCGCTATGCTTGTTATGCAGTGTCTTCGTGTGCTGGTGTTGTCGTTGATGCCCAGTCCGCCCCCTTTGGTTTCCCACATCTGCGATGCACCGGAATGAAAAGAGTGAGCAGAGAGGGTATTGAGAATCACAGCATAACCCCCAAACTCCAAAGCAAAAAAAACCCTGGTTCCCGATTAACCCGCCTTGTACGATGTTGAGGAAAAGCGCAGTGATGACAATGCTGACAGCAATCATGATGGATGATATAAATGCCCCCGAAACGTGAGAAAACTGCCGTCCGTGAGCCTTGCGCCTGTGCCATGATGCCATCCATTTTTCATCCAAGTCGTCATGTGCGCCGATGAAGTAAAGGAATGCTGCAAAAACCCGAGAGAAGGAAAAGTGAAACGGTGAAAAACCATTGCGCCTGAAAATGCAAAATCAAGCCATCGCCATCAATCACCCCCAAGTCTCCTCTATTTAAAGAGACTTCTCAAATCTTGCAACCTCTGCCTCGCCGCATCACCCTGGCTTCTCACGCCCTCGGCCTCAGCACGGTCCATGCTCAAGCTGGCCAGCTGCTTCTTTTTCTCCTGCAGCGCAATCATCTTCTCCTCAAAGCTGCCGCTCATGATATAGCGCACCGTCCTCACAGGCCTCTTCTGGCCCAGACGATGCACACGGTCGACGGCCTGAGCCTCGGCGGCAGGATTGAACTGAGGCTCCATGACAAAGACACTGTTGCCAGCTGTCAGGTTGAGGCCCATACCCCCCGCCATGATGCTGACAAGAATGACTTGTACATTGGGATCATCGCGGAACGCCTCCATGGCTTGGTTGCGAGCGTTGCGAGTCATCTTTCCGTCAAGACGGGAGTGGGTGATACCGGCGTCGTCGAGAGCGATCTCAATAAGATCAAGATGAGAAGTCCAGCCGGAGAAGACGACAGACTTGTAAGGTGGCTCGTCCGGATTGGCTTCACTCCGGGCCTTGTTGGCTAGAAGCTCTTCGACCAAAGCCCGAGTCTTTGTGTGAGGCCCAGTATACCGATCATCAGGAATGATTTTGCCAGCCCGAGTCTTCGTCTGGCGGGTCTCGTGCTCAACATCGGCTTTGCTTCGGCGGAGTTCAACGCAGTGAGCCTTTTGAGCAAAGGCGCATGTAGGGCAGCCCTGATGCATATCGCCATTGCCGTGCTGGTGCACGAACCTGATGCAGGTTGGGCAGTAGACGTGGAAGCACTGCGCCATGTAGCCCAAGACGTCGTTGTTCTGATCAAACTCTGGGTCGTCGACCTCGATGGCCCCAAGCTTGTTGTTGCACTTGATGCAGAAATCACTGCTGCCCTCCTGCATCAAGTAGTACATCTCATAGGCCTTCTTCTCAGTCAGGGCCGGTTTCCCGTCGTCGTCCTCGCTATCCAAATCGATGGGGGCATCTGCCGACAAGCCTTGGATTTCTTGAAAATCATCGTCATTCAGCAGATCCTTGCCATGCGCGCAGATCAAACGAAGTTGAAGAATAGACCGCAGAACGTGAATCATGGTCTTGCCACCCATAATGCGGGTCTGGCCGGTGCCCTGGCCCGTCAAGACCTGAACACGCTCCTCGGCCATCTTTTTGAACAGGTCATAGACCTTGCGCTCCTCGGAGGAGAACTCGAGGCGAATAACCTCGTCGGTGCGCTCCGGGAGTTCGATCTTGTCCTTGAGACGGCGGATGGTAATGGTGTCAATCAAAACCCGAAGTTTGGGCACAATGTCCGGATCAGCAGCCTTGAAGGGAGCAATGATGTACTGGATAAACTTGCTCCTGTCGTCGAAGGGCTTCAGGCGCAAGAATGCCAAAAGGGAGGCGAGATCTTCGAGCTTGTTTTGAACTGGTGTTCCGGTCACGGCCCAACGGCGGTTAGCCTGTAGTCGGCAGATCGACTTGAACGACAGCGTGTTTTGCTCGCGAATTGTATGGGCTTCGTCGAGAACGATGCGGAACCAGGCAATTTCCTCCAAGGGGTAGAGGCCCGGCTTTTTCTTGAGACGTGCGTTGAGCTCGCTTGTGACGGATCCGTAAGTTGTGATCACCAGATCGTACCTGGCCAGCTGGGCAGAGTCCTTGATACGGTTGGCGCCGTGATAGATGTAGTAGTTCAGCTTTCCAGGTTCGATATGCTGCTTGATCTGCTCCTCCCAGTTGGTGATTGTGCTCAGCGGGCACACCAGCAAAGTGGCCTTCACATTCCGGCGAATTTGAGACAGGGGCAAAACCTGCGCGCGGGGGGCTTCATGGCTCTTCTGTGGCCTCTGATTCTGGACGACGGGCTGGAGGGGCTCACGTTGTGACCAGGCCTGCGCCTCGTCCAGAGTCTTGGCCAAGAGAGACAGAATGCTGAGCGTCTTGCCGAGGCCCATCATATCGGCAAGGATGCCGCCAAGAGTCGAAGGGGGCGGTTCCATCACCTCCTGGTTGGTGACCACATTGTAGTAGACCGTGGTGCCGAACTGATTTGTCCTGCGCTTCCATGTTGATGTGACAGGAGCCTTGCTATCAGCGTCTGGCAATTGCTCAGACTCCCGAGAAGACATGAAGAACAGAGCTTGCTTCTGGTGCTTCAGCAGCGGTGTTAAAACAGAGGGAGGAGGATCCAACTCCGGCAGCTCGTCCGACTTGGGGAGGGAGTCGAAAACACCCAGGACCTCGGACCGAATCTCTTCTACCGACTTGATCATGGGCGGAGCCTGATACTGGACGACATTGTTGACGCGGGCAAGGGAAGGCAGCTGCGGCCGGTTCTCCTTGGCCAGAGGGTTGAAGACTTTAACGCCGGACTCGACTCGCGGCGGACTAAGAAGATTAATGTTCTTCCGCTGCAACAGTTTACCCACTCTATCAGCAAAGGAGCGAAGACCATAAATCATCAACTCAAGCTTGAATTGGGTGGACACCTGCTGCCCAACCTCTTCGCCGGGATTCTTGCGTCGGACGGGGATTCTGCAGTCAGTGCGTGTCCCAAAGGTTCCAGCCATGTCCATGAGAGGAGCAAGAACGCTGGCCGTCTTGGGATCAACCAAGCCAATGCAGCGCTTTTGCCAATCATGGGCATAAATCTTGGTGGTTGGATCGCCCGGGGTTCTCTTGAGCAGAATCTTGACTTGAGGCCAAAAAGCAGGACCGCCCATAGAGATCATGTTAGGCTTCGGGGCTGGGATCATGTGGCCTTTGATGAAGGCGCCCTCAACCATTCCAAAACAGACCTCCTCCTGTTGGGGACTGCGGGGAATGATTTCGACGTCGGTGTCATCGGTCAAGTCAATTGTAGCGCCGGGGACCGGGGCCACAGATGACTGTGAGGGTCCATCGGATCGGTCTTTGATGTGCTGAGCCAGGATGCCGCTGCTGGGTGAGAAGAAAATACTATTTGCAGGCAGCGAAGGATCATTCTCGTTCGCTGTCTTTCTCCTCTTTGGCGGCGGCACCATAATGCGCTCCTGGACATTGTGAAGGCGCTCGATACTCTGTTGAGCACCCAACCCGTTCTTGAAGATGGGCATGGTACGATTACTAGCCAACCCGGTCGGGGCGCTCAGCTCCATGGGCGTTTGATCGGGACCGGTGAACTCAAAAGTGAGCTGCTCGGATGGTTGCGAAGGGCCTGGCGTGGATGACGAGGCGCCTTCACCAGGCTGGGGTGTAGCAGACGATCCGGCTGCAGCCTTGGGGTTGAGCAAGTCGGCCGGGTTCCACGACGTGGAAGACATGTTGCCCGACTGTGCTTGGCTGGCTGTTTGTTCCTTATTTTGTTTTATTTTTGTAGTCAAATTTCAGTGGTATGTATCTGTGATAGATGTTAGAGTAAGAATAACTAGCTTTGCTTTGAGGACCGCTGAAGAAGATGAAAGAAGCTGGAGGACAGGATAGGCC